CACAGCAAAGGAAACCATCAACAAAATGAAAAGGCAACCTATAAAATGGAAGAAAATATGTGTAAATCAGAGTAGACAAGGAGTTCATATCCAAAATACACAAAGAATGCATACAACCAAAAAAAAAGAAAGAATGCATACAACTCAATAGCAATAATAATAGTAATAATAACCAATTTATTTAAAAACAGGCAAAGAAGGATCTGAATAGACGTTTTCCCAAAGGAGACATATAAATGGCCAAAAGGTACTTGAAAAGGTGCTCAACATCACTAACATCATGGAAACACAAATCAAAACCACAATAAAATATCACCTCACACCTATTAAGGTGTCTACTATCAACCAGGCAAGAGATAACAAATGCTACAAAGGGTGGCTCAGTGGTTGAGTGCCTGCCTTTGGCTCAGGGTGTTATCCCAGGGTCCGAGATCCGGGATCGGGTCTCCCTCTGCCTATGTCTCTGCCTCTCTCTCTTTGTATCTCTCATGAATAAATAAATAAAATCTTAAAAAAAAATAAATGCTAGCAAAGATATGGAAAAAGGAAGCATTTGTATAGTGCTGGCTAAAACATAAACTCATAGAGCCACTATGGGACATATGGAGGTAGAAGGTTCCTCAAGACATTAAAAATAGAACTACCAAATGATCCTGCAATGCCACATGTGGGTATATATCCAAAGGAAACAAAATCACTATCTTGAAGAGGTATCTGGCATTGCAGCATTATTCACAATAGCCAAGATATGGAAACAACCCAAACATCCACTGGTGGATGAATGAATGCATAAAGAATATGTGGTATATCTACGCAACAGAATATTATTCAGCCTTAAAAACAGAAGGAAATCCTGCCATTTTTGACAACATGGATGAATTCAGGGGGCATTGTACTAAGTGGAATAAGGCAGAGAAAGATAAATACTGCATGGTATCATTTGTGGTATGTGGAATCTAAAAAAAAAAAAAAAAAGTCAAACTCATAGAAGTAGAATAGACAGTTGGTTACCAGGTGCTAAGGGGAGGGGTCTGGGAGTGGGGAGAGGTTGGTCAAAGAGCACAAACTTTTAGTTATAAGATGAATTAGGTCAGAGGATCTAATGCGTAACTTGGTGACTACAGTTGACAATACTGTGTTTTACTAAGATACAATACTGAAACTCCTTAGAGTAGAATTTAAGTGTTCTCACAAAAAACAAAAAAGCAAACTCTTCATATACAGACATGGAAAAAATTTTAAGATATATCATCAGTGAAAGAAGACATAGAAAAGTATGCCTAGCATGCTACCGTTTGTGTAGAAAGCGGGGGAGGGGAATACACTCAACGGGCACACTCTTAAATCCGGGTATGACCAGGGAGGCCCTGAAAGCACCAAATCTTCCCAGGCCTGTGGCTTCCTGGCTTATTTTCTAGGATCTTGCTAAGGGGCCTGGTGTGCTTGTAGGGGTGGCTTCAAATTTTCTGCACAAAAGAGGTCTGTATGTTCCAGCTGGATAGAAGGGGAGAAGATTTTCTTGAAGCCGTTCATCAAGCAAGCATGATGATTTTCCTTCAATTTTGTTATTTATGTGGGGCAGGAGAAATTAAGGAGATGTCAGTCCTATCCAAGCAATCTGCACTGCTTAGGGAGTCCTTATACTTCCCCTTGACGTGCCAGGCTCCTGATTCTCTCTGCCCCCTGGCAGGTGCGTCGAGAGCACCTGGTGCTGACATAAAGACCTTTAATCCCAGGCAATTTCCTTACTGGAGGCAACAAAATCATTAACACTTAGAAATACCTATCTTTAAAAATATGGCGTGAGACTGCTGTGCCCTGACCATTAGGGAAGGAATGGGATTCTGTTCAGAGGACACATGGTCCCTGCCTCCACAGCTTTTGCTGGAGTGATGAGCAGCCCAGGCCTTCAGAGCTCATGATAACGACATGCATTCTTGCTCACGGGTCGGTGGATAGCTGTGGTTCAGCTGGGTTCAGATCCAGACTCCAGGTCAGAATCGGGTAGTTCCATGTACCTCTTGTTCCTGGTCAGGTTGCAGAAGAAACAGCCATCCGGGCATGCTCTTTTGGTGGATGGCAGGTACACAAGAGTCAAGACATGAAGATACATTTACAGCCTCACTTAATTAAGCATGCATAGATTAAGTCCACTCACCATGCACTAGCCAAAGCAATGGAGCAGGGAGGTTTACTCCTCCAGAGCAGAGGAAGGGGAAAATGAAGGTTCAATGGAAAGCAAAAGGAGCAGGACAATTTCTAAGCCCTCAGGGAAAAAAGAAAGGCTCTGGCAGTCTGCTCAGAGTCTTGGACATTTCTAAAATGCTCACAAGGCATCTGGCCCCCATATCATTATACACAGTACGAGTCAGAACAGACTATAGTAATGACCCCTACATCTCAGGCGTTTATAAGAAAAGATGTTTAATTCTTGCCCATGTTACCTGTCCACTATGGATCAGTTAAGACTCTGCTCCCCCTGTCATTTGCACTCCAGGACCCAGGTGGATGGAACTGCCTCTTTTCTAGACATTGCTGGTTTTGTGGCAGAGGAGAAACAGAGATAGCAGACTATAAACAAGCTGGCTCTCAAAGCCACAGCTCAAAAATGACACACATCATGTCCACCTTCACTGACCAGAGCAAGTTACATAATAACTCAAGTTCAACAGAACAGAGTTATGTCATTTTCCTTAACAAAAGACATGTGTCCACCTGAAGCCAATGTTTAGGGAAATATACGTCTTGAAGAAAATATATGTCTTGAAGAAAGACAATAATGCAATCTAGCACAGCCATCTGGGGCCATGGGGGATGAGATCAGATCCTTCAATGATCAGATGACTTGTTTGCCTAAAATCCAGCCACGTGGAGTTAGGCAGGCATTCAAGACTATGCTATTGTTTGCTTTTTAACACATATTTTTAGGATTTAACCTTTGGACCCGGGCGGGATCCTGGAGACCTAGGATTGAGTCCCGCATCGGGCTTCCTGCATGGAGCCTGCTTCTCCCTCTGCCCGTGGTGTGCCCACGTAGGACCCAATCCCAGCACCCCAGGATCACAACCTGAGTGAAAGGCAGACAGACGCTCAACCATTGAGCCACCTAATAAAGTTTTTAAAAATGGGTGGGAAAAGTTGAATCCAGAACCCATGGATTGGTTCCAGAACCCATGTTCTCAATCAATATGCAATACTGTCTCTGTAGAGATGAGAAACTCAAGAAAATCAGCTGAAAAATCATTAGAAATGGTAACAGATTTCAGAATATGAATGTAAATATTAATATGTAAAAATTAATAAAATAAAAATATGCAAAAATAATATATAGTATTATGCACAAACTGCTACACCTAATCAGACAATAACCAAATTAATGGGATAAAAGATTCCCATGAAAATGGGGTTAAAAAAAAACTAAAAAAGCTAGGTATAAATTCTTTAAATATACAGATAATATACACATACTATAAAATCCTACTGAAAGATATTTAAAAAGTCTTTAGTAAGTGGAGAGACATAACATTTTCCCAACTGGAAAGCCTCACTAATGAAGGAGGATAGAGATTTCTTTCTCCAGAATTAATCTCTACATTTAACATAATGTCAGTTCAATTCACTTCAAGAGGGAGTGGCCCAGTTCAACGAAAGGGCACTTGCGTATAAACCTATAAACAGGTGCAACCTTTGGAAGGAAAGTTGAACCAGTATCTATAAAAATTTTCTATGTGCATCCCCCTTGACACAGAAATTCTTTCTAGGAATCTATCCTGCAGAAATGCCAACACTTGCTACCAAAGATGGACAAGGAATGTTCATGGCAATTTTGTTTGTAATATAAAAAAGGAGAAAGAAAAAGAGGGGGGAAGGTAGGAGGGAGGGGGAGAGAGAATAGGAGAGCAAAAAGGAAGGTGGAACAGCAGGGAAAGAAAATGCTCAGCAACAGGAAACATATTTTAGATAAATTATACAAAGGGATGACAGGAGCCATTAAAAAGGAAGAGAAAGCTTTATATATACTAGCATTTAAAAAGTCTTAGTTAGGTCTCTGCTATGCGCTGAATGTGTTCCCCGCAAATTTGTGTATTAAAACCCTACTCCCCTTGAGGCACCTGGGTGGCACAGTGGTTGAGCATCTGCCTTTGGCTCAGGTTGTGATCCTGGGGTTTGAGTCCTGCATCAGGTCCCCTCAGGGGGAGCTGCCTATGTCTCTGCCTCTTTCTGTGTCTCTCATGAATAAATAAATAAAATCTTAAACAAACAAACAAAAAACAAACAAACAAAAAAAACCCACCCCTAATCCTCAACGTGATGGTATTTGGATATAGGGTCTTTTTTGGGAGGTCATTAGGTGTTGGCAGTGGAACTCTCATGCTGGGATCAGTACCCTTCTAAGAGGTGAGAGAACACACCTCTCTGCTCCCTGCCAGTGAGAACACAGTGCGAAGGTGGCATCCATACACCAGGAAGAGGGCCCTCAGCAGAACTTAGCTACGCTGGCACGCGGGTCTCAGACCTTCAGCCTCCAGAAAGAAATGTTTTGCTGTCCACACCACCCAGTCTATGGTAATTTGTTACAGCAAACTGAGCAGATTTTAAGTCTCCAAGGGAAAAATAATACAAACCATGTCAATGCAAATTGTAGAAAAATGTACCTAGTATGGTTATTCTATTTTTAATATGGAATATAATTTAGTGAAAAAGAGATGAGGTATGGAGGAAGGAGGCTTCCAGTTTTGCTTTCAACACTTCTGTAGCGAGAGTATGTATTACTTTTATGATAATTATTAAGCATTCACTCAACAAATACCAAGTCTTGTACTGGGATGGTGAACATGACAGCCAGGGCCCCTATATTCGGAGAACCCTTGTTATCATGACCCAGTAGAAATCCAAACAAGATTTTGTTTATTTCTTTTGGTGATGCAGGGAAAAGTTATAGTTAACTTGACCAAAGTATTCTAAGATTTTCTGGAACTAGTACTAATAAAAACCACTAGGAAACTTCGCTGGCACATACACTAAAATTGGGAGGATGTAGCAAAGATTAGCATGGCCCCTGCACAATGATGACATCAGTTTTACGTAATGCTTCTTTTTTTTCTTTTTACTGTGATGGTGGTTACACTCGATAAAATTCATCAAAATATACATTTAAATGGTATGTTTTATTGCATGTAAACTATACTTCAATAAAATGTATTTTTCTAAGAGCCAGGAAAATGATAATACAGAGTAATAGAATCTGCCTAACCAGATCTTAAGCCTTAAGACTTCAATAATTAAAATAACATGGCACCAGCACCAAAATACACTAATAAATAGACAGATGTGAAAATCCACACAGATACAAACATATAATAATGTAATCTACCATAACTCAATCAATTTAAATCAGGGGTGAAAAAATGGATTTAATAGCTTTATGGCAACTGGCTAATTCTTCAGGAAAAGTAAATTAGCTGTCCACTTTATAACTTAAGCTAGAATAAATTTCACATTAAAAATTTCAAACAAAAGCTTAAAAGTAACTGAAGAAAATAGAGAAGAAAATGTATATATTTTAGGAATGGCCTAAAGATTTAGGAAAGCCCCTTCTCATCAAGTTCCGTAAACAGAAACCATTTTTAAAAAAATGACTAAATGGAAAAGTTAAATTTGTATATAGTCAAAGAAGAAAAAGTGACAAATCATCTAAAAGATTGGGAAAGACTACTTATCATAAATGACACAATTACTACTTTAATGAGTAACATATACAGAGTGCTTAAAAATCAGGAACAGAAAGACATTCCAGTTGAGAAAGGGGCGGAAGAGGGGTGCCCGGCTGGCTCGGACAATGGAGTGTGCAAGGGCTGATCTCAGGGTTGTGAGTTCAAGCCTCACACTGGGCATAGAAATTACTCTACCGAGGGCGGCGGGGCATAAGAATTAAGACAGTTCAGCCCTGCAAATGCAAAAAGCCAGTACACAGAGGAAAAGGCATTAATTCCCCCTGGGTAATCAGACCTGCAAATTAAATCGGTCTGCTATTTTTGTCCACCTTATTGGTTTAGATGTTCGTATGCAGAGAAAACTTCAAGAAGATATCCAGGAAATCTCAACAATCCAGATGAAGTCTTAAGGGATCTTTATTTTCTCCTTTCCATTTTTTTTCTGGTTCCCGAAGGCTTTGTCATCCTCTGACCGTTTACAAAAAAAAAAAAAAAAAAAAAAATCTAATAATCTTAATAGCGTTAGGTGTTGGACACACAGAGTTTTCTCCTGTCACCTCCCAGAGTACCTGGCGCAGTGCACCCCAGCAATGCACCCCGAAAAAACGCTACCCCACCCCCCACCAGGTTCGGTCCTCCCGGGGAAACACACGTGCACGCACACGCACACGCACCTGCAGGCTTCGCTGATGCGCCGCAGGGTGAGCTCATCCCTGAGCCGCTCCGCGCTCCCGCCGGGGGCGGCCGGGGGCGGCCGGGGGCGGCCGGGGGCCTGCGGGCGAAGCCGGGGTCACCCCCAGCCCGCAGGAGCCCGGCCCCTGGCACCTCGGGCGGGCGCAGTGCGGCACCGGCAGCGCCCGCGCGCGGAGGCCCGGAGGAGGCGGCGGCTGGCGGGGGTGGTCCCCTCCACTCCTCGCGCCACAGACGACGCGGGCGGGAGACCGCGGCCCCGGGTCTAGCGTCGGCTGCTGAGCTGACCTTGGCCAGTCCCCGCCGCGCTCGGGCCTCAGTTTCCCCAGCCGCAGGTCGAGGCCGGCGGTCGCGATCGCCGCGCCGGCTCCCTCGGGCGGGTCTTTCCGGGAGCTGGGAGGGACGCCTTCCTCCGCCGGGTCGCCCTTCCTCCGTCCGCGGGCCGCCAGGTGGCCCGCTGCAGCCCCACGCCGCTTACCTGGCGCTCCGGGCGGCCTCGCGGCGCGGCGGACGCGGGCGGAGGCTGGAGAGGCGCCGCCGCCGCCGCCGCCGCCGCACGCATCCCTGCCGCGACCCCGGCCCCCCCGCCCCCCCGCCCCCCCGCCCCCGCCCCGGGGTCCCCGCGGTCCCCGCGGTCCTCGCGCAGGAAGCGGCCGGGCCTCGGGGCTGCTCGCCCGCCCAGGGCGCACGGCCGGGGGCGCAGGCCCTCCGCGGGCCCCGATGCGCCAGGGACGCGGCCGCCGGCGCGCGGCGCACACCTACCCGGCGGGGGCGGTCGGCTCCGGCCTCCGCGCGCCGCGGGCCGCCCCGGCTCACCGCCGCCGAGGAGCCGTCGCGCGCCCCCGAGGCCCGGGCCTCGCCTCCTCCCGCGGCGCCGCGGCCGCGCCGGGTCCTCCGCTCGGGCAGGCCATGTGACCCGCGAGCTGCCGGGCGGCCGCAGCCCCCAAACCCGGCTCGAGGGGAGGAAGGACGGCAGAAGGCGCCCACTGATGGGCGGAAAGGGAAACGCAGGCTCCGGGCGGAGGAAATGGAAACGCGGGGAGGCTTGGGGCTCTGCGCTTTCCGCTGCCGCCGCGGGCCTGCCGGCGGGTTCTCGCCGCTCGGATCGGCCGTGCGCGCGGCACCGAGATGAGCCGCCACCAGCTGCGCCCCCATCCCTGCCGCGCCCAACCGCGCGCCCGGCGCCCTATGAACGTCCCTCTCTCTGCATCTCGCTTCATCCCTGGACAGTACAGATCGTCATCCCCAATTTGCAAATTTGCAAATGACGGAAGAGTTGAGAAGCTAATTGCCAAGTGCAAACCCTTCCTTATTCCAAAAGCTAGAAATGTAGACATTTATGCAAAAAAAAAAAAAAATCAGAAAGGTGGGGCACCTGGGTGGCTCAGTGTCCCTGGAGTCCTGGGATCCAGACCCCGTCCAGCTCCCAGAGGGAGCCAGCTTCTCCCTCTGCCTATGCCTCTGCCTCTCTCTGTGCCGCTCATGAATAAATAAAATGAAATCTTAAAAAAAAAAATAAAATAAAAAAGGTTTAACCGGAGCACCAGCCAGGCAGGGGAGTTAGGTCTGTGGCTCCTTCCACTTACCTGTCAGTCTCCCAGGAGTGGCTTCCGTGGTTCAGTACCCATCCCCACCCTTCATTTTGGCAGATATTTATCCAAGAATTGTTCTGACTTCCTGCCAGCACCATAGATGAGGATGAGGTAAGAATGAGACCGCCTACTTTCAGACTTCTTTTACATGAGAAGGTTAAAAATTTTGCACAGAACATCTGGGAGAGGGAGCTGAGCAAAGGGAGAAGAGACTCATGAAAGAGATGCCTGTAGAGCGGCCCTCATTACTAATGAAGGGCTTTCATGCATTGACAGAGGTCATTTCGGAGCTTCATCTCTCAGAAATCATTTCGTTAATAGGCCACAGAGGTTTAAAAAGAGATCCAAAAATAACTAGGTAAGAGCTGAAGGAGATAATTTAGTGTTCATTGTGAAAGTGCCAAATACCAAGTATGTAATAAATGCTCATTTAAGTGGTATGCGAAGATGTGATCTGTCCTACATTGTAACTTTTATTCTATTCTCTTTTTATTTATTTATTTATGATAGTCATCAGAAAGAGAGAGAGAGAGAGAGAGAGAGAGAGAGAGAGGCAGAGACACAGGCAGAGGGAGAAGCAGGCTCCATGCACCGGGAGCCTGATGTGGGATTCGATCCCGGGTCTCCAGGATCGCGCCCTGGGCCAAAGGCAGGCGCCAAACCGCTGCGCCACCCAGGGATCTCTCTATTCTCTTATCATGGCTGAAACTACCTAAAATCTAGGCAGATCTAAAAGAGCAGTGAGGTCTCAGGCCAACCCGGTCTCCAGTTGAGAACTGCGGAATATTTTTTCCCTTCAGATAGGTCATCACCGCTTGTTCAAGCATAGGTATGCACATCTGCTCCTGCCTTCAGGGCTGCCCCAAGTCATGCAAACAGGAAGCATGTTTCTTTTGTGAGAGGAATAGAAGCCAGCGTGACATTTCATCTTGGGGCATGTAGAGATGTATTCACATAAATGAAATAACATCTCTCAATGAACGAAAGCCCCTCATTGGAAAGCTATTATTTTGGCTCTCAAATGTTCTGGAGTCTTCCAGAATCCTATTTTAAGCAAATATGGTTCTGAATGATGTAATACTGGTGGTATGAGAAAATGGGCACATTGGTTGAAAACAAATCCTGAGGAAGAGGAGGACAGGTAAGCAATGTGGAATGACCCTGGGGAGGAAAAAGGAAAGCCAGAGGAAAGTGAAAGCCACTCTGGCTTCCTGCAGTTTCCACATCAGGGTTTTGTTGCATTTCTAATTTTAGGTCAGTTTGCCTTCTCCGCCCAGGGGTTGGCAAACTACAGCTCGTTGCGGTTTTTCTGCAGCCCACAAACTAAGAATGGTTTTTCACAATACTGAATAGTTAGGAAAAGATATTTTGGCACATATGAAAGTTACATGAAATCCAAATTTCAGTGTTACTGGCACATGATCATTCATTTACATGTGTCTGTCTACGGCTGTTATCGTGAGCTGAACAGTTGTGACAGAGACCTTATGACTCACAAAGCCTGAAATATTTACTGTGTGGTTTGCAGACACCTACTCTATAAGGTCTCTTCAGGGGTCCCGAGATAAGGCAGTAAAGCCAATAAATAAATGCTCATGAGATTTCTTATGTCAGCATAGCTGGTACTAGATATCAAGTTCCCTTAGAATCTTATCTCCATCCACCTGTGCAACCATCCATCCACCAGGGCATCCATCTGTCCCTAATTTACAACTGATATTTATTGAAGTATTGTTCTGACATGGTGGCAACACCGTGGATGAGAATGAGATAAGAATGAGCTATGTGGGGGTGCCTGGGTGGCTCAGTTGGTTAAATGTCTGCCTTTGGCTCAGGGTCCCGGGGTCGAGCCCCACATTGAGATCTGTACTCAGTGGGGAGCCTGCTTCTCTCTCTCTCTTTCCCTAAAATAAATAAATAAAATCTTAAAAAGAAAAAAAGAATGAGATGGGAGGTCCTGCTCTCAAGGAGTCTGTCATTAGGAATGACGAAGTATATGTACGACTGCATAGGCTGACAGCTGGATCTGGTACAGAGAGCAGCTTCCCACTCCTGGATCAGTTCCAGACCTGCTATTGCCAGACTTCTTTTACATGAGAGGCTAAAA